TGTCTAGGTTAAAGAAAAGTGCAGACAAATCCAAATCGCTCTGTCTGCGCTTCCAGCAGGATGGATATAAGCCAACTGTGGTCCAAAACCTGCATAGCTGTGTTATGATAAGCAAGTATATTAGTTAGGACATGGTGCTGTGCTGACTTGGCAAGGTGGCTTCCAGATGGGAACTGGCTTAGGTTCATCTGGCCCAGGGACCAGGCACTACATGCTTAGCTCTTGTCTGCTCACGCCCATGGTGGCATGCAGAAGAGAATTATAGGTACAGATTTCAGCCAAAAGATGCCACAACCTGGCAGCTTAGGTGGCCTACAAGAACACAAAGATTTCATCACAGATATGGACCTGCTTAGATGGCAGGATGTGACAAACAGTCAACCCAGCATGCAGACACATTAGATGGTACAAGCATATTGCTCAGAGCTGAAGACAGCTTTGTTGGCTGTATCACGATGCAGTATTGCTCAGCTAGGACTGTGTCCACTTTAAAATGAGGAAGAGGTTGGGATATCGTTCACCAGGTTAACATTGATATGACTTGTCCCCATATAAGATCCTGCTCTCATTTATTTAGTAGACAAAGAGATCAGTGTGTGCTTTGGTCTGGTTTTAAAGATCGTTTTCTTGACAAATTACTAAAGGGTCATTTTTTCATACAGCACAGAGACGACATCCTCCCAGCTGTCTTCCAAGCTATTGGTCACAGGCTCCATCACTCTGAGCTCCACAACAGATGAGTCAATGTATTCTTCAGACATGTCCTTTGTGGGTTTATCTCATCCTGCCTCTGTCATGAGGACCACAGAGATGCCCAGTCTGGCACAATCTTCTGGCTTAACTCAGGCTTCGCAAACGAGAGCCATAGGTAAGCCTCTGGACACTTGATTGCTTTGTATTTAGGACAGAAAAACACAGCCCTTTATTCGTCCATATGCACACAGTATGAAAATATAACCCTATAGCTTGAGAGGAGGCTTTGGTTATATTTCAACTAATGGAATGGAGCAGCCCACATCCCCTTTCACACCCCACTCTCTGGCTGGGACTGATCATGTCTCCAAACATGAGAGTGGCAGGAGAGGCCTTGGGTGGTAGAAAATATGCCTGTGTTCCCTGGACCAAGTGTTATTTCCTTGTGTTTCACAATGGGTATAACCCACAGTTAGGACTCCATATGTAAAAAGAACCTTTCATTTTCATGCCTTATGTTACAGTAGGCTTAGCTTTCCCGTGTAGAGAAATCTGCAACTTTGCTCCAAGCAGCACGTAGATGCCTGGAGAAGGTTTGTGGAAAGGTGTGTGTACATGTTCTGGAAGCCGTGACTGGCCCAGTATAAGCTGCTGAACAGTGAGGATCCAGCTTTTCCCTGTTGCAGGGGTTGTGATGGTTTCCAAATCACAGCCAGGGCTGAGAGCAGCCCTGATGCCAGCAGAGGTTCTGCACCCCCTGCCTCCCTCCCTGTGTCATTTTCTCCAGCGTTGCATTGTGAGACAGAGGCCAGTGATGCCAGTGGTCTTGGAGCAAGGTGCTGCTGATGGGGCAAAGGCCCAGGCTTTGCTCTTGGCCAGTAGATCTTTTTGGCTCCCACAGAAAGACATGGCAAGTCCAAGCAGAAACTGATGCTGGGTGGGTATTGGTGTGAGTGCTGCTCTGTGTGAGGGAGGCTTGTGAGAGAAGGAGGACAAATCTCTTTGACATGCCTCTGCAGTGAAGCAGAGCATATTTGTCCCCATAGATCTTTAAATGCTCTTTAGTTGCTTCAACACAGACCAGAGCAATGATGCCAATCATATCAGGGGGTTTGCTCAACATCCTACGAAAAAGGGGATGCAGCACACCTCTTGAAACACAGTTATGACTAGAGTTTCTAGTCAGTGGGCAATTCTACTTTTTTGCCATTTGGTGTGGACCTGCACAATGATAAAAATGGAAATACTGACATTTTGGGGAAAACAAAAAAAATTGGATTTTTTATTCTTGTGGTACCTAGCTACTGGTCTGTGTGCATATGCACCCATTTTCCTAACCTTAATAACTTTGGAATACATGGACCAGTTTCTCCCTCCCAGGTTGGCATGGGGATAGTGTCCTACAGGTCATACAGGTTTTCTAAAAATTGATGGTCAGGCATGAGAGATACTGTTAGTGCTCCTATTGAAGAAAAGGTTGATAGGTCCTTCCCTCTTTACCATTTATTAGCCATCAGAGAACCCACATGATGCCAGGGTAGGGGGATGGGGAAGCAGAATGAAAGGAAAAAGTAATTAGAAACCAGGCTTCGTTAATTCAGCTGCTCTGCGAACAGCATGTTTGGAAAGGTCAAGATGTTTCATTTGACCTAAACAAAATGCTGGGACCTTCTTCAGTTGAAATGTTTCATTCCTGCCTATTGAACCAAATCAAAACACTTTGCTTTGGTGAAGCACTGTAATGAAGAGCTTGGGAGGCAGCAGCTGCAGCTTATTCTAGCATCACTTGTCTGCCCCAGAGTTGGGAAAGGGTGACGTTCCTTTTTCAAACGTGCAATGTTGATCATCTCCAACATATTGACGAATTAAGATGGATTTCACCCCAGGTATTAGAAAACAATGAAAGACCCCAATCTGTCTGCTGTCCAAAAGGAGTGTATGTCTTCCTGCCATAAACAGCTGTCTGAAGGGAAAAAGAAGTGAAAATGTTCTAATGGCCTGGTCTTCTAGGGAAAAGGGGCTGATGTGACCTCTCTCTATGTGTGTGCGTGCTCATATTTGTCTGTCTGTCGTCCCAGTTGTGTCTTTAGTTAATGATCCACTTCAAACAAATTTGGGCATGTTTATACATATGATACAGGGTAGACACGTGGAAAGCAGTGGGCCTCTGCTGCTCCATCTTTTGGAGTGTGAGCTGGCCACTAGCCTCCAGTCCTTCCCTCCTGGTCTCATATTTGTATCGGTGAACAATGAAGGATGTTAGACAGCAGGATTTGTTGACAGACCCCTTCTTCCCTCCACACCGTTGCCTGGAAGTTAAACCAGCCCCCTAAGTGGAAGCCTGTGATTAAAATCATTGCCCTGATATAGATACGGTGATTTTGAAGTCAGAGCCTCCTGTCTCTTAGGAGAGCTTTCTAAGCACTCCACTACGAATTTTGGGGTATAGCTGTCCCTTGCTGTGGCATGACACAGCAAAATGGCAGAAAAGAAAGGAAGGGAGAGCTTACGGGGCAGGGCTGGTGCCCCAGGGTGAACTACTTAAGGCAGCTTAATGACTGATGGAGATGAGGTTTCGCAGAGTTCAGGGTGCCACCAGAGAGGAGACTTTGCCCAAGAGATGCTCTTCTGGAGGCTTCCCTTACAGCATTTTTCCCTGCTGAGTGTTTGTGGAGCACTACCACAGTTTAGACAGTAGTTTCCAAAGGAGCATAAGGGAATTAGTTATTTGATCCCACTGAATTTCAACAGCGTCAGGGCCCCTCCTAGAGGCTCCCCAAAAGCCCCTTTTAAGGATGCCAGATCCTAGCAACAGCAAAAGCAACCATTGGTCTGATCTCAGGAACAGACTGGCTTGTTGACACATTAGTGAAAAGCAGCTTCAACACAGTCTGTTCACCCTGCGGCTGCCAGTTCGGCTGCCGCTCTGAGTGTTTGATCTAGCAAAGGCTTCAGCCCAGAAAAACAAAGCCCAGCGTTTCTAGTTCCTGGCTTAGGGAACTTGTTGCCCTTTGTGCTGTTTCTCTGCTACCAAAAGCCCAAAGGCCATTCTTTCATGTTTCCTAGTTCGGTTCATCCTCAACCAAGGTCACCCTCTGTTAAACTGTATGCCAGCTGTAGGTTTCTCTTTAGACCGCTTGTGCTGCAGCATTTCACCTCCTTATTACTCGTGTGCTATTACCCTTGCCTGCCACTAACTGCTAGTTTAACACAGGCAGGTGAACCAGCACCACTGTCCCAGGGCTGGAGCGGTGCTTCCCCAGGTATCCCAAGGGGACGGATTACAAAACCTCATATGGAAAAACGTAACACTGTAGATGACACTTCCAGGGAGCTGGTGAGGCTAATCTGCATTGCAGTGATGCTGTCTGACCCAGACATACTTCCGAGTAAAGCTGATTTGTGCTCCAGTCATTTCAGAGCTAAGATGAGCTGAGGGATGCATGTCCCCCCACAATTTAGACTGCCCCACCAGATCTGGTTAGAGATTGCCTGGTGATGTGAGTCTCGTACAATACTCAAAATATTGAAGGAAATCTCAAATGGGTAGTCTGAGAAACAGGCACTGAAAAGGATTTAGTTTGTTGGGGGGACTTTGATGTGAGAGATGAGAGAAGTTTTCCTGGTGAAAGACAGGTTCACTGGGTATGTTCCCTCTCTCTGGTTCTCCCTGCCTTTGCCAGGATGGGGAGTCCTGCATAGCCCCTGTTGAACACTTGTATTTGAATAGGGGAACAAAAAGGGGATTGGGAGGTTATCACTTTCATTTTGTAATTGGAAGGGAGACTTGATACATTCATTATCCACTCACAGCTGATGCTATGCTGTCTAACAGCACTGAAATTGCAGGATGACAATTATATCACTGATGGCATAATTTATTGTTTTTTCATTACCTAAGGTAATTCCAGTGAGGTAATAAATCTACATGTCAGTAAGAAAACACTCAGTTTACCAGCTGTGCTGTATTTCATAGCCACGGGTTTAATGCTTTGAGAGGAGCATTTGCTAAGCATCGCTTTGCAATTAGAGGCAAAGAGGAAATTAAATGTTCCATTTTTGTTACAAAAAAAAAGAAAAAAAAGATTTGTTTCTCATAATTTGTCTTCCTGTTAATATTGCACAACTCAGTGTCTTTGTCTTTTGCTTGCTCATCAGCTCAGCCCAAAGATGGTATTGAAATACTAGAGTGGAACTCTGCTCCATCAAGAAACCTTAGTCTTTCAGTGATGGTGTCAGGACAATGCCAGAACCGCTTCAGCCCTTTGTTTACTGACTCAAGGAAGACTGCCCAGACCCTTGGATGCATGGGGAACCATGGAAGGACATGTTCTGCTTATGAGGACTACCAAAAGTCTGCATCCAGGTACAGGCACAGTTGGGGCTTTCCTTGAGGTTATTTTTGTAGGGAAGAGATAGTGTTTGCTGCAGTATCTCCTTCAGAGGAGCTGCAAAACACAAGCAAACCCTTGATAAGAGACTAAGTCATTATCCAGGAGGATATTGGAGAACATCAAAGGCTTTGAAATGTAAGGATGTCACTTATTGCTTTAGGGACAACTGCCCCCAAATTGGACTTCACTCTCAGAAAGGATAAATCACCCTTCATTCACCATGTCCCTATCAATGTTTGTTAATACAAATTCAAAGATACCTCTCTTGTGAAGGCAGTCTGTAAAAGGAGCAGAAACACGGTACCTCATGGCTGGTTTGGCCTTGTCTTCAACTGATCCCACCTAATTTTGAATCCAAGAATAGAACTGATACTGCAGGATACTTCAGAAGGTCCCACCATGTGGGCTGCATGAAACTATTTGAGACAGTGACAGGCAGCCAAAGGAGTGAACTGGGCTGTATGTGGTTTACACCCACCTAGAAATCCCATTAAAAAAATAAAGTATTGTCTCCTGGAGAAGCTAGTTGTCCCAAAAAGGCATTTGCCGTCTTTAATTTAGCTTCACATATACTAAGGGTGGGAAAGACATATCAATACAGATCCTCAGCTGGTTTCAGTTATCTTGAATCTGTCTCCTTCAGAGAAATGACAACAGTTGACAAGTCCCATTTTAAGGCTAGCCCCTATGCAGACACTGTCTGCTACAGACTACTTCCTACTGTGTTGTTCAGTGGATTTTTTGAACATGCTTATTGCTAAGGTTGCTTTCACAATATTCAATCTACATTTCTCCTTTTGCAATGATATTTAATTGGTGATAGTTCAGCTGCACAAAGCCTTTGCCTTTTGGGGATTTTCCACCCACCTGCTATACCCATTCTGGTATCGCATGTCCCTGCGATTATCTACTGAAGACAAGCATCTTAGCTCTTTTACTTTTTTTTCCCCACAAATTAGCCCCTGGATCCCTCATCATTTTTGTACCCTTCTATAATTCCTTGTTAATTGTCAAGATTTTTCTGGTGATGAGATGTCCTAAAATGAACCCAGTGCATTTTATTCTGGTCTCATGCCAGCCTAAATCCAGAGTTTCCAGCAGAGTAGTACTTAAAACAAAGCATCATGGATGAGGTTGCGTGTTTGGTGCCTCAGGCCAAGATTGAGGAGTGGATGAACTCTGTGTTGCCTGTATTAGAAGTGGGAGAACTCTCTTTACTTGCATTTACTCCTAGGAGGAATTTTCGTATAGTCAGTGAAGCCTGGTCACACCAGGCACTGGTGCATGTGAACATCAGGATCAGTATTTCCAGCTTCCCCTCTCCACAGCTGCACAAGGGGAATCTTCCACTCCGTGCTCCTTACTCCACAAGGACAGTGCCATAAAATCGTAGCAGCCTTTTTTGTTCTGTCAGATTGCAAATGCGTCATTGGCTTCCTCCTAGCCTTCTTTCAGCATTATTGCTCTCCATACTTTTCCCTCCAGTGAATGCTATTTCCCCCCTGATAAATTAGTGTACCATTTTCCAAGAGCTGCATCTCACTTATTTCCTGCCCATATTTCTAAGCTCTCTAGGGCTCTTTGTATTATTTCTCTTGCTCTCATTTGTGTTCCCCTACCCTCTCCTCTCAACTTAATGTTATCTACATATTTTATTAACCAGCTGTTTTATTCCCCCTCACACATCACAAGTGGAGATGCTCCATGAAATGATAGCTACCCATTGTCCCTATAGGGAACATATGAGACGCAAGCCCCTTGTCTATTATTATTCCTTGTTTGCAGTCCTTCAGACAGTTCCTGTGACAGTATTTATGTCTAAGCCAATGGGAGATAATATTTTTAGAGGCACTTTATGAAACGCTTTCCTGACTCCCAGCTCTTTGATGCCTGCTGGTCTCCCTGCTCTCATTCATTTTGTAATTCCGTCAACTTTATATGCATTTTTCTCATAGACTTAGTCTTTGTAAACCCATGGTGCTCCTCGCATATGTTTCCGTAAAGAGATCTGTGTAATTCCCAGGACATTATAAGGAGAGCCATGAAAAGATACCTTTGAAAGCCAGCATGAAAGCTCCAGTTGTGTTCAGAACTCTAAAGCTGTTTCCAAATAATGAGATACGCCATACTGTTTGACTGGGCTTGGGGAGAATAACTCTAAATAAACATTAGGAGATAAAAGAGATCACCTTCCCCTTTATGCATTTCCTTGTATTGTGTGAACTGTTCTCCAGTGGGGATTGAATCACATCTTGTCTCCTACAGAAAGCAAAAGAAGTCATTAGCTCTGCTAATTGTTGAAGATAAAGAGTAAAAGGTGATGACAGTTTGCTTTGTGTGTGGTTAAACTTGTTAAATGTGTAAACTACGCAATTCTTTTAATTCTCATTTGATTCATTACTGTTATGGTATTCCACGATGCCAGCACATTAGCACTTTTTTTTTTATTTCCACTCAGTTTGAATTTAAACTGTACCTTTTCTTGTTATACACATTAAATAAATAAAATTACATTGTAGTACACAATACCCAATGTTTTAATTTGGTATTGCATTATACAACATCCTTTGAGTGTACACAGTGTGAACACATAATTTACTAATACTTCTATAGAGAATTGATGAGTAGTATGACTGGATCGGATTTGTCGTGAAGCCACAGTACAAGTATACGTAAACTTAGTAGCAATATGTGGTTTTGGCCAACTAGGATATTTTGCTTTTATTGTTTATAGTCGAGTTTAATTTACATCCATTTGCTTTTAAGAATATGTGAACATTCTTAAAGCACCTTGAAGCTTACATGTTTAATTAGATTGTTAACTAATGTCATACTGAGAACAGGATGGGAGTTGAGCCATCAGGATTTTCAGTGGCATCTGGATTTTCAGTGGCATCAGGATTGGATTCACTGCATTAGGATTTTCAGCTATCAGCTGTGTGCAAGGAAAGTAATAGTATTGTCACTTGTTCTGGCACTGATGCTTAGAGACAGCCATAGCGTCTGTTCAATGTGAATGTCACCCTAAACCTTTCTCTGGCTTTTGCACCTGAGCAGTGTTAAATCTGCTGTATTTTGGGGGTGTCTGTTTTGCAGAAAACAAGAAAAATAGAAACTGCTACTTGAAATTCTGTGCATGGCTGTTGAAAATAATCGATATCTGTTTTGTACTAAGTGCATGCGCTACATACTAAGGATGGCTTAAGTTAAAGCCCTGATCTGTAAAGCACTTGGGATCTCAGCTGAACCTTGGCATTTCAGGCCTACAGTTGTGTACAGTTACTAGGTATGCAATGTTTCACAGCCTTTCACAAAGACTGAGCTGAGCCTTCTCCCAGGACTTTTCCTGTCCTGTCCCTCTAGTATAGTTAAATCTGTTGCCATACAAATAAATAGATTCATACTTCTGGACATAAGCCTTTCCCAGCGTAATAACAGTATCAATCTGTGACTTTCTTAAAGACTTAGGTGCTTAGAAAGACTTGAATTCGTGGCGTGTTTTGTGGTTAAAATGCCTCGTTGCTACCTCTATCAGCTCAGAGAGGAGCAGTTCAAATGGCATCCTAATGGCAGGTCTTAGGTCCATGGCTGTTGCACCCCATTCTACCAAAAGCATTGACATTTTTTCCTCCCTCTGCAGTGTTCAGTGCTATGTACATTATAGAAAATGGATTCTGTTCCACCAGAGAATATTAGCACATAGCATCAACACATACCAACCTCTCCACCACGCACTTTAGCTCCTGTCTCACAGGAGCTGGTCCACTATTTTGAAAGGTAAACTAACTTACTTAAAAAAGCTTTGAAGCCTTCAGTGAACATCTCCTTAGAGAAGTTATTCCCTCTTAAACTCACAAAAGTCTGTTGCGGTCCAGCAGCTAGCTGGCTGTACAAGTTCTTAGAGAAATTCTGCAGGTCTCACTTTCCCCACCAGCTCCCTCCCCCCTGTTATGTATAGGGCTTTGGCACGGGACTAAGAGCTGCATGTACACTTAGAGTGCAAAAAACAAATGGGTTTGGGGAAATTAGTTCAAATGGTGCCTATACATTTGGGATTTTTAAGGTCGAGGGTAGGAAGCGCACAGGCTGAGGTCCGAATTCCCAATGAGACATACACATAGATCGTGATATTAATAAATTCAGAGCCTTGTTTGGCAGAAAATAATATACTGGAACATGAAGGTACAAGCATACGTATTTTATTATAGGGTGACAGTTTCTTAAAAATACTTGCTGGAAAACAGAATTTCCAGTTCAAACAAAGAATCTTATCTTTAGTCAGTCCTTTGTTAATTTAGCCACTCTGAATTTCATCAAATAAGGGCTATATCTCCAGGAATTCCTCTGACAAAGGGGTCCCCCAAAATCTGGAAGATTATCCAATTACAATTCAAAGAAACACACAGCAAAGATGACTGACTAAAGATAGATGTCTCAGGAAAAGAGCAGAAAAGAGTGTGAAGGAGGGTGTATGAGACAGCTTCACTTTCTCTTACAAGTGAGGAGAATTATACCTGCTCTTAAGTTTTGTGGTGAGTGGAGTCAAGGTCCCTGGTGTCAGGTGTGGAGCTGCCTGCTCTCCTTCCTTTCTGCTTTTCTTCCACTTCACTCTTTTGCTATGTGCAGACCCCATGCCTATATGAAAAACTGACATTGATTCTTAAAGAGGGTTTTTTTAGATTTACATGTGTTAACAAAAAAGGAGCTCTTGACTTAGAGGCTCTGTTTCGGATGTACAGGCAGAGAATAAAGATTGCTGTTAATCCTGGGCTGAGTCAGGGGATGGCTTCTCCCAGGAACAAAAGGGAGATGCCAAAGACCCATTACCTTGGAAATCCTACCCAGAGTAGGATCATCAAGAACTAACAGCTTCTCCTAGGCTCTGCTAGGTACTGGGAGTTGTCCACAGAGGCAAGCTATATTTTCATGCCTGGAAGGAGAATTGCTTGATGATGCATTCACATCCTATGCCCATCAAAAGTACTGTGCTCTCTGAGCTGGCACAGGAGAGTGCCCAACTGATTCAGAAGCATTTGAGATTGAAGGATGATCAGGCCCATTTACCCTTCTTTATCACTAACAGCTCTTGCCGCATTCATCCTTAGACATCTTGAGCCAAATTTGCTGTTTAACTCTTGCATCTTTGAATCTGACCTTCTCCTTCAGCCAGCATGGCTGTGAGGCAGTGGACTGCCTGGACGCAAGCTGGCAGCTCTGTGTTCAGCAGCTTCCAACACCGAATTCCCATGTCCTATCATTTGCTCCTTTACCAGTCCTGTGTGTTGTATCAGAAATTCCTGTCAGCCCCATTTTATGTTCCCAAGTCTCTCTGGCTTCACTAGGTTCAACCTGAGGTCTTGTTTAGGGAAAGTTACACTACCCTGGACCCTCATTATTCACTCCTTTATCAACCAGGATTCTGTTTGCAATGTTACACCATTAAATGATCTTTTAAGACCATTTTAGGAGGTGTCTTTCCTCATCTGTTTTTTCCTGTCCTCCTCCTAGATACATTTTGGCACCCAAAACTTTTCCTTCACCTTCCTCGCACAGATAGAGAGAAATGGGAGATCAGGAAGATCTTTGCCTTCTGTATGGTTTAAAAGCTTTCTCCCATTGACTTAACTGGCTCTACACCCTTCCAGAGGGTAAAAATGTCAGGGATTCCTCTTGGTTGCTGGTGTCATTCTGTTTTTATAGCCCAGTGGAGTCCTAGGCCACTGCTGGAGCTCTGGGACTGTAGTGATGTATGTAGAAAGCAACTGTGGATTTGAGTCACAGCATTTCATATCTGCACGTTTACTGCATGTGTAAATGATGACTTACAAACTGGGGGATCCCAAAGGATCATTCTCTGCATTGGCAGTTTGCAAAGTTTTAAAGCACAGCTAGCCATCCCTTCAGCTGCACTGATACAGCAGCTTGTGGAGGGTGCCAAAAAAGCTCAGGTTAAAATAATGTCCCCCCCAAACCTTTTACACTGGGTTATTTCAGCAATCCAGTTTAGAGTGTGGTCCTGTGAGCAGGGGGGAAGGAGAAATATGCCTAACTGTGGCAGGCAGATGAAAGCAAGCAGTCCGAAGAGGGGGGGAGTCTGAAGGCGAGGAGCCCCTCAGCCTGGCTGTGCTGCCAAAGCTCCTCCAAGGCTCTACGTCTCCAGTGAGCTTTCTCCAGGTCTCTCCTTGCTGATGTGAAGCACAAATAGGCCAGGACTGAGTGGGAGGAGGAACACTCTGGAGTTCCCAAAGTTTGCAGGAAGGCAGAGAAGCACCCGAGTGTTACATTTGCAATGCAGTCTTCTCTGGCCAGGGAGGGGGCAGTTCCCTGTGGCTCTGCTTCCAAATCTATCAATGCTAGCAGCAGCCTGGAGGCAGCCTGGCTGTTGTGAGCAGGTGTGACTCACTGCTACACCACATAGCTGAATTATTTGGGGTGGGCGAGCAGTATTTGTCACACTGTTGATGAGGATTTGGCTATGTTGAGCAAGCACATAGGCTGTCTGGGCTGTTGGGTCAACCTTTACTATACACCCAGAGGTCTATGACTTAAACTTACTGGAACAAGACGAATGTGGCAAGGGCAAAAGCACTACATGCACAGAAGACGGACAAGATACTGCACCGTGCTAAATAATAAAATTTATTGCAGTAGATGCCATATCAAGAGCTGAATGATTCTTAGACTTCATTCACAACCTGTCTAATAAGACCTATGATGAGTATTACAGCCTGGGACTGAGTGTTTAAAAGTGCTCCCTTGACATGTGCGCTACTTAAAGGAACACTCAAGTAATAAATTTGTTTTCCAGTGCTTAAGGGAGATTGAGTGTTTCCCTGCTCACGCAAGAAGTCCCTGATCTTACTGCAGATGCAAAACAGACCCTGCTTTGCTGTGATTCTGAAGCAAGGCAGGGATGAAATCTCAGTCTTGTAGCATGGAGTCTCTCTGAGTTAGTTAATAATAAAGTGTTAATAATGAAGATTTGTCTTCTTCCAGGAGGCAAAAAACAGTGAGAGGCAGGAGGAGAAAGGTATACTGATGAATAGGAGAAATTTTCTAAACTTACGAAGGGAGTCAACTACACAACTTCCACTAATCATACTAGGCTAAATACCCAAGGCAGCTTTAGAGGTTGTAGCCTATATAGATTTAGACAAAACCAAATTCAAATGGTATACTGATGATTTTTTGCCCCATAAAGAATCTTTTAATTTCTGATGGTAATGGATGCTACCTAAGTGTGAAAGAGAAATAGAACATACTAATTTTAATGCAAATGGATTTTTTGAGATGAAAGGCACTGCATAAAAAGTAGAATGGCAGTGCTGTAAATATTCTGCCTGTGGTATGTTTACTTACCATTAATTACTGACATCTAGGCTAGTTGTTATAAAGAAATACATGTGTTTTTTCAATTAAGCAATGTTTTTTCACTTTCAAATCAACTTCTGTTCTTTCAGTGCTATTGGAAATTTGAAAATTGCTGAAATTGATCCAAGTGGTCATTTTGTAAAGATTCTGAACTGTGCCCCTGAAAAAGAGGAAAACATTGGGGATTATCTCTTGAAGCAGGACGTCCAAGGTCAACTAGTGGCTGTATTTCGGTTTCCCCCCGAGACCAGGATGGGGCCCAACTCCACCGTGACAGTGAGTGTGGGGGGTTTGAATGCCTTTTCTCAGCTGGCAGACTAGGGTACACTTTTAGCCTGATGGTATAGAGTCAAACTTAAGTCTGTATTTTCAGAAAGGCTAACACTCACAAATAATGATGAATTCAGAAGAAGCTACTAATGTCCATCAAGCCTGGCATTTGCATGACATGTCCAGCATTTCATATTGCACAGCAATGGGAAGCTCTCCTGGAAAGTCCTTGCTTGATGCATTGCTTTTTCCAACCATTGCTCCCATAAAAATCTCCCCATACTCTCAGAATATTGAGTTGTGCAGTGTTTGCCAACAAAGGGTGTGCACCCTGGATTGGAAACCCATAAATAATAGAACTAGAAAGGAAATGAGTTTTGTGTGTTGCTACTGAAGCAATTAATACAGTTTTGCATATAGTCTGAGGTATCACTATAGCAGGGTCTCAAATGAAAATAAAAAGAAAAACTATGTTGCTTTCCAAACTGTGCCCACTATCTGAGGACAGCTGTTACCCAGCAGAGAAAGCCATAAACCACTGTCTGGCAATGGGACTCTGTTCCTGGCTTTGCCTTGAATGCCTTTAGGCAAAATGATGACACTCTGTGTCTTAGTTTCCTATTCTGTGCTCTCCTTTGATGTCATGCAGAACTATACGTTAAAAATTCAGTGCATGGGCTGCTGCTCTTCAAAAATTACTTCCCCTCCAGCTAGTTCAGATGTATCTTTTTGCCAGTTTGAATAAGAGTTAGAGAGATAGGTAGGATCTAAGATGCAAAGAGTCAGATGACTTCATCATACCCCAGAAAAGCTTTAAATAGAAAACAACAAATACATGCATCTGATATCCATGGTAATGCAAAAGGCTTGAATGTGTGAACTAGATGTGACCAAGGCTCAGTTGTAGGTGTAGCTGAGGAACGTCTGCTGGTGTCTGTCTGCACGCGGCCTCCAGCAACCTCTGGGATGTACCCACACCCAGAGTAGGCACAGCCTTTGCTGTACTGGGTAAAGATGCTGGCTGCTTGGCTGGCTGCAAGACACCTTGCAGATCTCCCCAGAAATGGTTTCCTCTTAGTTGGCTTTGATGCCCCAAACATTCCCACCCACCCCAAAAGTAGTCCTTTCTGAAGTGCTCCAATCAGTGCTTGAAGTCATTGACAAGGTTGCTGTTCCCATTATCATTAAAGGGCTCTTGGGTGAACAGCCGTCTGAGGTAGAAGGTCAACCACAGCTTCTGTTTCAGCATACGCAAGCAGAAAATTTCTGCTGGTTTAATTTCAAAGGGTTGTATTCAGGCTGCCAACTCTAGCATCTAAAATTCATGTACAATAGTGTCTGTGTCAGACAGTCAGCTAGGGAGAATTTCCAGGCCCCAGCTCCCTGGGAGAGCAACACATGAACCAAGGCAAAATGCTCAAGTAGATGCCAGTGTAGATGGTTGGAATATGGCCTGAAGCCTCTTGTCACCCAGTGCTTGTTTCTTTTTCTGAAATGAAAATTGAAGCCTCACAGAATAAAAGGAGGCAAAACCCATGTTCATCACGAAGCTCAATGCTGATCAATGCATCCCTGCATGTGCCCTCTTAGAAAAGAGCTGGAAATGCAGGCTGCCGGGGCCCAGAAGAGCCACAGTCAATGTTGTCTTATGGTGTATGTGTGAAAAAGCCACAAATACACCTTGGCAGAGTGCTGCATGGTGAACACTTTTGGAAGAGAGCGTTATTATTTTTTTTTCAAGATACTTCTCCTTCAAAATTGAATGAGAATTGTTTTGGCTCCCAGGAAATGGTTGAAGCTGTTTTCTCACAGATGGCAGATGCCAAAACCTTTAAGAACATGGTTTGGAAAAGCGTGTTGTGGTTGTCTTACATAAGAGAAGTGCTTGCATAACGGGTCCTTTTGCTACTGCGATAGTGATAAAGGTAACGGATAATTGTGTTCACTTTATAAAGCACAACATTGTTAAATCTTTTGTATAAGGATGAAAGTACAAAAATTTTATAGCTTCCAGTAGAGACAGCTTCTCCCCGAACAGAGGGAATCCAGAATCAAGAAGAGACTGGAATTTTAAAGCTGATATTACAGATCTCTTCCAACGCCCCTGGTAATTCAGAAAATAAAAGAAACTGCCTATTTTTAATCTTACTCTTAGCAAGCCAGACCAAAAAGCCCAGGATTTACTATCACACTTTGAAAAATGTGCCTTTGTTAATCTCTGTTAATCCACATGAGACATACTTGAAAATAATCACTATAACTAAGCTGCGAGTCTTGAAATATAGTTCTTTCAGCTTTGATTTCACAGATCAAATAGTGACCAGTGTTACAAAAATCAAAAAGGAACAGGAAAACCTGATGCTTTTACTGAGTTCTTATATTGTATAAATACCCAGGAGCCATTTTGTCTTTAATCTAATGGCTGCTTGATCTTTGCAGGTTTGGGCAGCAGATGCTACAGTGCTTCACAAACCTCCCTCAGATTTTCTTTGGAAGGACCTGGAGAGATTTAGGACAACCCTTGACTGTGCTACCATTCTCTGTGAGCCTAGCGGTCAAGTGAGTGCCCTGAGCAAAATCACCGTGTTTCCTTACTCAGACAGCTTTATCACTGGACTTCCTTCAGAGATTTAGGATCATATTGTTAAAGTCCTTATAGAATTAAGCACAAGCAATCCAAACATAGCAAAGCTGTGATCTCTCTCTGTTAACCTTGCTTCAGTGGGGATGTTAATTATTAGGATCTGAAGGACTGAAGAAAAACAGTAGATTGATGACTCCACTTGTTGAATGAAAAGCTGACATCCTCACAGCAATCAAAGTAGGGCCTAGACAAGTGTGAATTGCCAGACCACTGTCCTCTTCCACTGTGTTTCAGCCATGAAAGATCCAGCTATGGCCAGGGCTGTTCACCCCATGGCTGCCCATTAGTAACTGCCATCGGATTGGCAACTGTGTTGAATATTTTTAGGCAAACTTGTGTTGACTTGGGGATGAGAAAGAGCCCAAGATAATTTTTTACCCTATAGCTGTCCAATGGCAACTATGGTTTTGGTCATTTTTAGCTAGATAAACTCGTACTAGTGACAATATGGAAAAGACCTGTGATTTTCATAAACAGCGTAAGTTATAAAGCTTCCCCAAGGTAGCGTAATTTACACCTTACAAACTGTTAAGTGAATGTTGACTTTTGGTCTCACCTTTTCACATTTACTCCTCTTCTAGCTCAGTTTGGCCATACTTGCTATTACATCAGTGCCAGGGAATCAGAGGTTGAAAGGGAACTTCAAATGTAATTACCTCTGCCAGGATTGCTCCTGGCTGTCACTTGCTTAGGTAGTCCTGGAAGACCTTCGGTAATGGAGACTGCCATGTCCCCAGGCAATCTGCTTTAGTGCCTCACTCTCTGTATGCTTAGAAAAGCTTTCCTAGTGCCTAAACCTAACTTTTTCTGCCTCAGTGTTAGTCCTCTCCTTCTTGTCCTATCCACTGTGGACATGGAGAACAGATTGCTTTTTCTTCTTCCAGCAGCCTTTGACATACTTGCAGAATTGTCATGTCCTCTTTTCTCTCCTTCTTTGTCAGTTTACTTAATTGGAGCAGTGGAATGTCAAGGTTCTTAGATGATGAGTCTACTCGAAATATATTTAAAGACTGGAAATGGATTTTAAAGACCAAATTAAAAAAGCTGGAATTTGGTGGCTGCAATTAGTATTTATCTTTCAAATGATAAATAACTCAGAAATACATTGGAGTCCCTACCCTTTCAGTCCTTCCTAGTTTGTCTACAAGAAACAATTATCTTGACGAAAAAAATGTAGAATATAAACAAGCAGCGATACGTTGGTTTTTCTTTTTTTCAGGCTGTGGCTTGGTACACTCCTCTCTACTGGAACAGAAGGCAAGGATGGGCGGTGAAAGAGGAAAGTGAGAAATCTGAGAACATTGTTATACCAACTTTCTCAACAGCAAAGCAAAAAGAGGGATGGGAAAATGAACAGGAATTTACAGTAACTGATACAGAGTGGAAGAAGGCTGACCAATGCCAAACAAGAAAAAAAAGCTTCATTAAAAGGTATCTGATGTTCATTGTGTGTACTCTGTAATTGCAGCATTGTGCCAGACTGGCTCTGTAAGTGAACACTTTTAAATGAGCATCTTGGCAAGCAATTTTTGTAAAGCTTTGGAATTTTGAAAATAAGAATTAACCTTTACCTTCAAACAAGAACCCAGCCCAAAACTCCTGATAGGAGTGCATTCATTGTCAGTCAAGAGTAAGTGGAAAGTAAAATCCAAGTAAAAATCTTCTTAAAATGTGACTTTATTATTACATATTGTCTTTTGAGTGTTTGGATGGCACCATTTGGGGACCACAACTTGGAAAGCTTTCAGCCAAAAAATGTTGATGTTTGCAGAACTATTTACCTTTGTCTTGAGAAGGGTGGATCTTCTCTCAGCCCACTGTGCTTTGAACCGGGCTAGGGACAGATAACCATTGCTTTCTAAATTGCTTCAGAACTGTCTTCTAGCATTTGTATCAAATTTAAATTGGTAGCACTATGATTGGCTAATCTGGATATATTTTCACAAAAAAAAGGTGGGTGACCCTTCTTGTGTTTGGGGTAATTGCTCTTCTCTAAATTTCTTCTCCAGATTGTGGCTGGAGATGTTCAGAAGATGAAGTTTTCAGCATAGGTTAAACTGGCTGTTCTTCACAAGCTTTGTTCTTAAAAATGGCTAAATCACTTTTGCTCAAACTCTCCAAAGAAACTAAGTAAGAAGCAGGGAGAAATTATGTAAAAATTCAGTGCAAAGAGTTCAAGTCTGGCAGACTTATAACCAAAGGCAAATGCTAAATTATAATGTGATACGTCAAAAAATATAGCAGTTGCAGTTCTTCCACCTACAACTAAATGCAGAATGTGTCAAATATATGTGTGCTGTTTGTTAGGTATATTGCATAAATTTAATGTATGTGTGCAGTAAACACAGTAAATCTATGCAAAATACAATAATAAATATGCTAATGCAATACAATAAATAATGCAGTAATAGATAAAATATACATACTTTTTATATCCTGTACACATACATGCATGTGCAAAATGTGTGAAATACACACAGTAAACTTAATTGAATTTCTGTTTACAGGGAAAAAAAGACCTCTGCATCCCTTTTCCCTAATCAGAGTGCCTGGTGCCAAAGTCCAAACTCTCCCACACACCCTCACTTTTCTCTGGTTAGACCACTAACCATGGGAAATGATGGCAGCAGTTTGTGCAGGCAGTCCCGGTGTCAGTCATCAAGGCCTGACCCCGTGCCAGGTGAGTTCACCAGCAGATGTGGTATATGCTGTAGCATGCACAGTGGCAACAGGGTGGATTTTTTGGTACAAATAGCTTAAGACTTAAAATACATGTATGTTACCATGTCTTACTTCTATAGCAGTGGTCTCCAAACTTTTTAAATTGTGCACCTGTATCAATAAAAAATTTTTGAACATGAACTCCCAATATATGTACATTTGTTTATTTGTAAATTATATTCATTTACTACTGCAATAATATATTATGTACATTATAAAACATACACATGAATAGAAATTTAAAAGGATAAGATAAAAAACAGTATTTGTGAAGTATTTTTAAATTTAATTTTATTTATTAATATTAGAAAAATATTTTCTTCCCACACCCCAATGGATTTTCTTGCACTTCCCCTGGAAGACCACTGCTCTATAGAGCTGCACATGTTGGTAAGATGTAAGGAGGCTATTGTTACTAATCCTGGTGCGTTTAGGAAATGAAACAAAATATTAGGAATCAGTAAGAGAAAGAGACTTATATAGGCTGTGAATTGTTAATTAAGCAGTGGTGAGAAAATGTGTAATTTGGGTACATCAAACTCAGAAACCTGTTGACACGCTGGGAAGAGTTCAGGGGAGGATGACAGAGTGAAAAAGCATCTGAAGAGATTGATTCATGAAGATTAAAAAGAGCTAAATGTGTGTTGGACAAGCAAGATGATTGTTGCGCGAGGGAGTTCAAGCACCACAGCAAGAGAGGAAACTGTCTTAGATCCGGGAAACAGAACTAGAAGGAACAGGACCAATGGAAACATAGGAAGGCTTAGGTTGAATATGTAAATAAAAAGGAGTTTTAATGATCTATAGTATAGTCTTCCAGTTTTGCTCATTGTTCCACTTAATATTTTAAACTACTGGCAAGTTTTAAGTGCTCAGCTGCCATTAATTTTAAAGGAACTAGGTATGCAGCTCCTGAAGACAGCTTTGTAGTACTCATTCTTTCTTTAGTGAACATTTAAAACCAGACCGGTCAAATTATTTGAATATACTAAGGAGGTCACCCTGTGACTGGTGTGAGTAGGTGGCTGTGCAGTTGTCAGGAGTTTTTCCCCATTTCTAGGAGTGCCAGCCTAGGAAGAGCATTTCAGCTTGAGCCAGGAAAGAGTTTATGCACCTGCTTAGCTTTACACACACAAATAGTAATCCTGCAGCCAGGGAGGACTGTCAGGAAGATCCTTCTCAACTGTTAAATCCAGGCAAAGCAGATTAAAACCTGATGGAGTCAGTTGTAATAGACCTAATTTCATGGTTTGTTTCCTGCTCTGTCTTAATCACTGGTAGCATCAGCTACCAGGTGTCTATTTTGTGTAACCTCCATTTGTCTCATTTGCTAAAACTTAGTTTGTCTTGTTCTGTATCACTCTGGTCTTCTGCAGAGCTGCATCCCCCATAGCTAGCTGTTCTGCTTAGTTTCCTGGGCAGGGAAAAGCTGGGGACAGAGAGAGAATTGGCACCTGCCACCTGGGGGTGCTGGTGGCATCAGAGGTTGTGTTCACCTGAGCAAATGCTGTGGACAAATAGAAGCAGATCTGCAGAGCAGACCCCCTGATGCTTCAGACCTGGCATCCACCATGTACACATTTCAAGGGTGATTTACTTGGTCCCAGCTCTAGGCTGGTCCAACGGCCCCTCAGGGGGCACCTGCCTCTGCATGGCGTAGGTCCTTTTTGGGTATGAAACTTCCTGGGGTGCTGTGTAGCCCACTCATGCTCACCACTGGACTGCACGAAGTGGTTTCTGTCTGACTGCCTGCCTTCAGCCAGAGTGCTTGAGGTGTGACTCGGGAGGACATCTTCTGGCTCGGTTTCGTTCAAGAGGAAGCCAGCTCGTGCACTTGATAGTGCTCCATGATGTGAACCTAAGCACAGCAAGTGGGGGGAGTGGCAGCTCCACTCCATGGGTATGCTCCTCTTCGGACCCAAAATGCTACAGACCCATGCAGGACGTCCCCCAGCACATCTCCCAAGCAAAAGGGAGTTTGCCGGCACAGTGTGGGTGAGCTGCATGCAGTCCTATTTGCTACATTCCCATCTTCTGTCACACCTCCGCAGATGGAGGTCAGTGCTCTTTCCACGAGCTACATTTGGTTTCAAGATTTTTTCGCTTGCAACTGTTAAAACTAAGAACTTTTTCAATAAAGCAAGCAATATGAAACCAAACCAAAACACGTCTGAGACTGTAATGCAATCACGTTGGCCCAGGACACAGGGCTGCAGGCAGAGAGAGAGGGCCTGCCTACGGATTTACCTCCTGAGTGTGGGGACTCTGAAGGCAGAACTCAAAGCACGGTGGTCTGTCATACATTAAATATATCTGATTTCTGTAGGTTTTCACGTGCAACCTGCATACCCTCAGTCTCTTTCTCAGATCTTTGCAAAAGATAATTCGGCTCTATTTACTTATGGTTCATTGGCAGTTCTTTTCACTACTGAATTATGAAATTATTCCTTTTAATACTGCCAGGAAAGTTAATAACATCCAAGATCTCAGATTAAAAATTAAATATGGGTATAACCATTATTTTCGTCTGATAAATATTCATGTGTAGTACATATTACTGCCTGATTTTTCCAGAAATGAATGTAGAGAGAGATGTAAGCATTATTCTTATTTTATTACAATGCAAAAATTACAAGTGCTTTAGGCAGATTTATGCACATATGCCACTAGACATTATTACTGATGGTGGTGGAACGATGATTTTCAAATACATGATGGAATGATGATTTTGAAATGTATTACTTCTTTCTTTTTTTCTTTTTTATTTTTCTTTCCTTGCTTAAAAATTTTTAACTAGCAAGCTTATAACTGACATGAACAACTGGGGTCCACAGTAATATGCATAAATGCAGTCTTGCTTAGATCCTGGTCCAAGAAAGCTTCCCTATTCAGTAAAGACTCTTCAGGTTGTTCATAAATGCTTCATAATATCAGAGACTTACAGAAATCAGTATTGTTAACTTCTTTGCTTTCCCCTGCAAACACACTTTTAATCACTATTATCTTTAAATATAGACAGTTATTTTCCTAATGCCATAATACAGGGAAGTTAGGTCAATGCCTTTGAATCAAATTAGTGATTCAAAGTATTTTTGCATTTTCCTCTTAGATACTTAATTTTGCTTTTCAAAATCAGTTTAGCATATGCTCTTATTTCAGAAGTACAAAGGCCCACTCAAAACTGCAAAGAGATGGGCCTTCCAGATGATACTGTTTGATGGTACTTGCTTACTGGCTTAAAGTATTTAGTTTCTCATACATCTGTTGTATCCTTTCTAGCTCCTAGCTCTCCTCTATAATAATCAAACGTTATCTTTTCAGTCTCTTTTGGGGAGACGTTAATAGCAGCAGTCCACAATATTCCAGTACAGAACAAAGTGTGTTTAGTGGCATGATGGTGTTTTGAGAACTGTTTGCCTCTCCTCTCCTCAAGCAGCTCAGTATTTTACCTTTCTAGCTGCTACAGAACAGGATTTTCAATACCCAGTTCCAGTGACTCTTGTGGCTTTACTCTTGAGTCGTTGCAGTTGATAAGACAACAGTAGGGTGTGTGGTGGCTGTTCCTTTCAGCCCATACCCATCCATATGAAATTTTAACTGACACTTTACTGTTTGTCCACTTTGCCTTCTGAGTCCCTCCCGAAGCTCTTCTGAGCAGTTTTCCTTGGCGCTGACAACAGACAACCTCACAAGTTATCTACAAATAGTTTCACTTCATTTCTTACTATCTTTAATTTAGAGTCTCTTTTATTAATTGTTGAACTGTCTGTTTGGTTTCCTTTTCACCCAGGTAGCCCCATTTTCTTCTCAGACTGAGAGATAAGAGGGGAAAAGCTGCTACTGCAATAGGTCACAAAGATCGAGCTGAGCTCCGACCTCCCATTTTTCTCAGAAATGCATCACTCTGGTGACGGCGGTTTTTTTGTTGTCGTCAAATTTCACTCTGAACCAAAACGCTCAGCTGTGAATTTTGCAAGGAGTTTAAAAATAACCGTGGAGTGTATTGTGAAGCAAGCACTTTGAAGCCTCGGCCAAAACCAGCAAGTTTTGTCAATCAGAATGTTTCCCGGTTGCTGAGGAATGCTAATTAAGCTTTCAGTGGCAAATTGAACCTGCCGATAAGGAACATATTTAGCGCACATTTTCAGTGCAGAGGAGCCAATTCCTACCACCATCTTCTCTAGCAAGTGGATCAAGCCTGCTAGCTTTCTCTTCTTCCCACTGGTTCTCATGGGTTTTGTCCCAGAAACTGAGAGTTGAGTGAGACGAGATGCACTCATATCATGATGCATTTGCTCTCATGACTTGTCCCAAGGACTTCCAAGGTCTACAGGACTGCCCATGTAATTTCCAGTTAGCAGTGAGACATGTTTGCAGATTCATCTGTTTTGTCTTAGGACACTGACGTATTATAGGCAAGACTAAGCAATAACATTGGCCATTATAAATGATGATGTACAAACACACAGATACACTTGTTGATTATCAAGAGGTCAAACAAGGTATTACAGTGATAGTCCATGGTAAGAAACCAAGTCAGCTGCTTTGTCCAGTAGATCGGCTGACCAATGTGGATCAATGAACTGTTCCTATCATTACTAAGACACAAAGAGAAGCATCTCAGCTTGCTCAACACAGTGTCATTCACTCTGGCTGACAGTCAAGTGCTCCAGTAGTCTGCACCTTTGAGTGCATTTATGTGCCCTCTGCCAGCTTAAGTTCTTCTGTAGCCTTTAAAACCTTAAAATAACTTTTCAGTTTCTCACTGGGTGCAGATTAGTTATCTGGAATTCTAAGGTTCTGCGGTGCTGAGGAAGAGGATGGTCCAGTAAAGGAGATTTCTGGTGACAGAAAGCTATCAAAATACCTGGCTTTGTTTATTAAGTACCAAATGCTGTACCATCATTTTATGAGAAACACAGTAATTCTGGTCTCTTTATCACTGTTTTCTCAGCTGTG